TTTTTTAACGTGAAATATTTAAGAAAAAAAAAATAAAAAAAAATAAAAATTATAGTTTATTTAAAAAAAAATAATTTTTTTTCATCTCAAAATATAAATTATATATTATGTAAATAATTTTTTAAATTTTTTTTCCTTTCTCTTATACAAAAACAGAAAAACTAGCCGTTAGCCCGTTGCTTCGCAATTGTATACATACATGTAAAAAAAAGCATGCCGTAGCTAAGCCGCGTTATGTAACAATTGTAACATAACTAACAGGTAACACAGGTATCACAATACAAAGAATATTTATACAGGTTAGTCTAAACGTTACAAAAACAATTATTATATAGTAGATTTATTCGGAAAAATATTGATTGCAAATTTGTCGCACAAATTTGCACTGACCGAAATTCTAATAATCTATACTATTTTCTTTTTTGCTGTTCTGTGAAGCTATCATGAAGTACAACACATATGATCTTCCAATAAAATATCAACGACTCACTGCGTTTAATTACGTAATCATTTCGTAATCAGTTATATCACGTGCTCGTATTACGTCTCTCATATTTACTTTTATATAAGAAAAAATGTATTACATACTGTATATTGTTAATATTAAACTCCATATGTAACTCTACAAACTTTTCTTTTTTATTCTTCCAAATTTGGACTTGTTAGTTCCCAATCAAGATTTTTTTTTCAGTTTTCGGGTCATATATATTAAAAATTAACCATGTATCTAAAATAATATAGTCGATAAAAATCCAATTAAAATGTTTGAATAAATTTCGGCCGATTATATTAAATATTTGACGCAATCTCTGCGGTTTTGACAACAATAACACCTCATTTGTATGATAACCACAAATTTTACTGTATTGTTTCTTGTGAAACCTGATACTCAATTACTATTTTCGTTGGTTCCACAGAAATTTTGTATCATATTCGCATATGTTACAGATATGATATAATTCTATATATGTATATGTATACACTTTCAAAATATAAATTATAATTAGAATTCGTTATTCTATTAAAGTTAACTAATTTACGTATCTAGCCCAGGATCAACTGATCAAATTTACTCAATGAAAATTAATGTCTACTGCCGAAAAGTTCGCAATACGCCCTGACAAGATGCATGATCAAACTTTTCTTTTCGCACAAAAGAATTTCCTATACCCCTGGGCATATAAGCTCTCAAAAATGTTAGAAGGACTAAATTTAGATTTCTAAGGAGTTGAAGGAGGGTTGAGATGGCAAGGAGATGGAGATGGTACGATATGTATGTACAGTCGACCCCCTATATAGTCTCCCCGTATAATCACATCATATAAAATTCCCCTTTATAAGCACACCATATTTTGGCCCATACCGTCTCCAAATTCAGGTTCCAGTCCGAAATCTACATAAAAAAAGTTTAAACGTTCTTATATATAAAAAAAAAAACCCTGTTGGCTGTTCCCTCTTTCTACCTACCCGTTTCCAATTCCAAGTCTCAGCCTGGGTTCTGAAATCTACAAAAAAAGAGAAAGTTACTAAACATTCTTCATAAAAAAAATTAAGTAAATATTCCGAAGTTCGTACTTACAAAAATAAAAATTAAAAAAAATCCTCTGTAACGGTTTTTTTTAGATTATCAATTTTATCATCTCAATGAAACGATTGGTAAATCAGTCACATGTTTTATGATTAATACCGAAAACTCTGATCTCTGCCAACTTTCATTTTTCCATTACACGGCGTCGGCGTATAAGTTCCACTGCAGGTACCAGCTCACCGGTGTCTTCCATAACGGCACATATCCATATCTTATCTGGGTGGTAAAGATAGTTCTCAAGACCTTCCAAATTATTGATTCCCAAGATATGCATGCCACGTTCCATTTAAACATAATACCACGATCATCTAAAAACAGAAGAACAGGAGAAGTTCCGACAAGCGGGGAGATGTGATACCATATGTTTTATTAAAGTATTCCCTATTCTCTTGGTCAATTAACCCTTCATCTGTTGTTCCATTATAGTTATCCATCGACACCCCACACAGATCGATAAATAAAGGGCAGGGGGCGGATCGTATTCTTACATAAACTGAAATATTATTACTTCGCTTCTTTTTTTGAATCACGTAAATATTATGCGCAGTAAAACGTCATCTATACTTGATGCTGATAAAGTAATTCCCTTGTTTTCTTCTTTATTCTCTTCTTGCTATGATAGTAGAGACAAAGTTAACGTTATCCATTTTTTTACGTTATTAATAAATATCAATAAAATTTATGAATATAATGAAGTAATATGAATTATGATTAGGAAAAGCATCGAGCAGATCAGTCATCCCGCCCGCTTCTAAAAAAATAGATTTTATTCGTTTCTGTAATCTATAAGTATCTGGAGGACGTTTTTTTTCGTTAGTCAAATCCTGTTTGTCACACCCTTAGTCATCACTGTGTTGTTTTCCACGGTCACTTGTTGGGATGGGTTGGGACGTGTTTAATTAAGTAAAATCTATTTTAAGAAGCGGAAGAGCAGTAATATATAATATTTTTTTATCCATTGTTACGTAAAAAAAAGCTAGTTTGTGTAAAAGTGACAAAATTATGCAACAATAAAGTTCGCATAATAAATGACGTGACAAATATTGTTTTACGTGACTATATATGAATATACTAGCCCTGTTCTATTCTGTTCCGATTTTAGTGTAATTAATTTTAGCCAATTAAAAAAGCGATAAATTGAGTAAAAAATCAGAAAATCGGTTTAAATCTGTTCCGTTTAGCATTTCAAATTTCGGAACACTCGGATCATCAATTTTTTTAATCCGTGGTCCAATTTTTAAATGAATTTGATTGGTTAAAAACTTTGGTAAAAATCGGAACAGAATAGAAATGTGTAATTTTAATGATTAATGATCCGACATTTAACAAAGAAATGAGTCAAACACATTGTGATTGTGATCCGACTAATAATACTTAATTCGGCTTGAACCAAGTCGAATCAAACCGCCTCAGTTTCAAACTGCGGCTAAACCGGTTGCACTACAATATAAATTGGTTGGTGATATATATAAAATATACAGTAATATCTTTATTGTCATCAAATTTTTTAAAATTTTTCCTTTCATAATATTCTTTTCATAATTTTTCCTTTCATAATATTCTTTTCTAATTTTTCCTTTCATAATATTCTTTTCATAATTTTTCCTTCCATAATATTCTTTTCATAATTTATTCTTTTCATAATTTTTCCTTTCATAATATTCTTTTCATAATTTTTCCTTTCATAATATTCTTTTCATAATTTTTCCTTTCATAATATTCTTTTCATAATTTATTCTTTTCATAATTTTTCCTTTCATAATATTCTTTTCATAATTTTTCCTTTCATAATATTCTTTTCATAATTGTATTTTTTACCTTTCATAATGTTCTTTTCATAATTGTACATTATGTCTATCATTTTAAACTGCTTGATTGCAGGCGATGGCCTTCCTGATATTTTCAAAGTTAATATTAAAAAAGAAGAGACTGTCGGCCAGCTCATAAAGGCTATCGAGGAAACACGAGATGCTGGTGAAATCAAACTGTGGAAAGTTAACATCCCTCTAGCTTACAATAATAAGAAGTTAATCACCCTTATTAATGACCCTATTGCTGACGCCAGGGAGTTCGGGGGTACAAAGTTGTCCGAAAAAATTAAGATTAGCAGCGTATTTAATAATAGTAACATGAGTTTAGATATTATCGCCGAACCGCGCGTTAGTTTCAGATATTGTACTAATAATAAAGAACTTGTCCCTGGCGATCTCATTAAACTCGATGCTTGGGAGGGTATGATCGAAATTAAAAATGGAATTCCTAGAATTCGCTACAATAGTGTATATCTTAATTCGTTTAAAGAATTCGTTCAAGCATCATATCGTCATCAACAACCTAACCTATCGAAGGAAACCCTAAAGGTTTGTAATAATCTGGCTTTATTATTTGACACTTGTTTATCTCTAACAAACTTATCTACTTCCAGATCTACTTGCATGAATCAAAGATAACGATCAATTGGCAAGAATTTCGTAAACGTGTGCTTCATGAAAGAAAGATTAAAAGAGATCTTTGTAAGCTCCACGAAAGTATGTATAAACTTTGCACTTCCTTTGAAAAATTTCATGTAAACTAAGCAGAATCTCTTCTAACACATTATGAATGGTCTAGAAGAACCATTTACAAGTTTGCAGGCAAGAGAACCCAGTGATACAGAATATGACAAACTTGCAGATCAAGCATCGAAGTTTGGTCTTATTCGTGAAAAGTTCATTGACTGGATTTGTTCCATTTCAGCGGAACTTTTATCAACACAAACTCTCGAGTACTGGCTTCTATCTTACGTATCTGAAACATCACCAGAAGAGGCCAATTTCTGGAGTGAAATGATCTCACCACGTAATTGGTTATTATTGTGTTTTGAGATTAATATAGAAACAGCCATTGCTATTGTTAATGGAGTTTCGGAAAACTATCTTGGACAACAAACACCTAGGTACTGGGTTGAGGACTGGATTAAACAGCTTGCTAACAAACCTTCATCTGAATTTAAAAACTTCATTAATAATGCAAATGCGAATGAACTTACTTTTTATGAACATGAATTATACCCAACACCAATTCTTGTTGTCAATCCCTATAAAAATTCCACATCCTTAAAATGTTCTAGTTTTATGGTTAAAATATTCTTATACAGTGATAATATTCTTAAAATATACTAAAAATTAAACAGACGGGTTATTTGAATAGAATTTTATAATAATAAATTATTTTAAATTATACAAAAAATATACTGAATTTTTGAATTGTAATATTAATGGATATTTAAAATATTCTGATTGGATATGCAAAATATCCTTAAAATTAATTTACCGATAATTTAAGTATGAAATATTTTGATATTGAATTCGATTGGCAAAAAAATATACTAAATACTTTAAAATAACAACGTAATTAGATATTTTTTATCTGAATATGTAATTCGATTTTTTAGTCTCCCAGTTCATAAGACAAAACGTCTAGCGTGATTTTGTTTTATCTGAAGATGTAATTTGATTTTTTAGTCTACAAAATATCCTTTACCAATGAAATATTTCGATATTAAAATCGATCGGCAAAAAAATATACTAAATATATACTTAAAAATAAAAATAAAAAATGCCAACGTAATTAGATAATTTTTTTTTTTTATCCGATTTTTTAGTCTCCAACGTGATTTGATTTTATTTGAAGATGTAATTCGATTACCAATGAAATACAATGATATTAAATCGATCGGCAAAAAAATATACTAAATATATACTTAAATAAAAAAATAAAAAATGATAGCATTTACATTTTTCACATGTATATGTATAAATAAATGTTAATCCTATTATATGCACAAACACGAGATCGTTTACAATTGTGTTAATTGTTTAAATGCCAACGTAATTAGATATTTTTTTTTTTATCTGATGTAATTCAATTTTTTATTTCTCCCAACGTAATTAGATATTATCTAAAGATGTAATTCAATTTTTTGGTCTTTCAGTTCACAAGACAAAAATGTCTAACGTAATAGGATTTTTTTTTCATATAATGTAGTTCAATTTTTTTTTATTTCAAATTTATAAACTAAATTTCTTTCTTTAAAATAAGGGTTCCTCCCTCTTACAATATTCACAAGCTATATTATAAAACAAAAAATTTAATTGAAATAAAAACTATTACTATATTTTTTTTAAGAAAAAAAAAAATAATACACGTAAATATACAAAATGAGCATCCTTCACATATATCATTATAACGAAGTTTATTAACCAAATTTTACGTTATATTATAGAAAAGACATCACAAATATGAGAAAAACTTCAAATAAAAAGCATTCCAAGGGAGGTAAAGTCTATTTTATGTTTTTATCTTTTATAAAAAAAGCAAAAAGTAAAATTCTTTTTTTCTTTTTTTTTTATAAATAATCTTATTGATAATGAACAAAAACCNAAGCATTCCAAGGGAGGTAAAGTCTATTTTATGTTTTTATCTTTTATAAATAAAAAAAGCAAAAAGTAAAATTCTCTTTTTCTTTTTTTTTTTTTATAGATGATCTTATTGATAATGAACAAAAACCATCATACAATAAGAAAGTTAAAAGTTCAGGTGTGTTGAGGTTTAACATTATTTTATAATATTGTATAATATAATTAAAATGTAAAATTTAAATCTTCAACGATCTCAAAGATAACGGTAATGATTTATATCCTAAGAAAGAAGGTAAGGTCTACTTCTTTTTTTACCATTATTTACAAAAAGCAAAAAGTAATTATTATTTTTCTCGTTTTATAGAAAGTTCTGATAATACCATCACTGACGATCCTAGTAATGAAACTTCAAATGGTACAAATTAAGATTTATTAAAATATAACCCATTTTTTTTACTTAATTATTAACTTTTTAAATACAGATGTCGAGAATGATAAAGATAATGGCATCGATAAAGATAATAACGATGATATAACCGATGATTCTAGTAATGAAACTTATTAAATTTATTAAAATATAACCCATTTTTTTTACTTAATTATTAACTTTTTAAATACAGATGTCGAGAATGATAAAGACAAGGGCATCGATAAAGATAATAACGATGATATAAATAATGATAGTGAAGATAAAAAAGAGAGACTTATTAATAAATTAGGCTCTAATATTATCGACGAATGGCTTATTTCTTTGAGAACAATGAAGAAAATGAATATTAGCGGTGTAAATTTAAATTCTAACAACAACACAGTGCTGGTCACTGAAGAGGATGGCGCTTTAATCTTGTACTCGTATCCAGATGATGAAGAAGGTCAGAAACCTAAATATCAAAACTCAATATTGCACAAGAAACGAAGAACCATACGTTTATATTCAATCATCAGGTGAAGGTAATGATAATGGATTACCAAATAATGAAGGGAGTCAGAAGCTTAAACATCAAGCTCAATATAGAAAGGGTAAAAAGAGACTTCATAAAGGAGAATTGTTACCTGTCAAAGAAAATCCGAGATTATTCAAGGGACCACCTGAGGGACCACCTGAAGGACCATCTGAGAGGCTGGGACCTGTCAAAGAAAATCCAGGATTTGAAAAATTTGAAGAAGTATCATCGGACAACGAAAGTGATGGAAAAAATCATAAAAAGAATGAAAAAAATTATAATCTTGATGACAAAGCTGTAAATCTTGGTAAAGATTTACACGAAATATTGCAATTTATCCATAAATTGCCGACTTGTCCTCCTACTCGCGATAAAAAGATTTTCTCCCGGAATGAATTGTACAGACAAGCCATTATAAATCACCTAATGAACGATTCAGAATTTTCATTCTTAAAAGGCTTCAAACAATTAATTGGTGACTCTTTGAATGATATAATTTTGATGGATATTCCTTTCTCAAATCATACTAGAGTTCCATTTATAGCTAAAGATGAAAATGAAATTAAAAATATATTACATAAATTAGTGGATAATATTTTTAATTCAGTCACAGGAAGTACAAAAAGTCAAGTCGCCAAAGAAATCTTGCGACGTAAAGATCTACGCTTTCACGTGGAAGTCTGGAAATCATATGTTTGCTTGCAGGCATTTTGTTCTGCAAATCTTAAACGAAATAGAGGGGAGACAACCAGATCACAAGCCAAGAAAAAAATAATAGAAGAATATCCCAACATAGATCTTGGAGATTTGGATTTAATGCTTCAGATCTCGCCAAGGATATATAGGTTATTACAAGTATCCAACAGCAATTGGGTTCTCTTGGATGTATTTGAAGAAATTACACCCACATTCTTCAAAAGTAAAATGAAAGTTGGCGCCAATTTTAAAATTTGGCTTAATTTGGTAAGAACAGGACAAATGGCTGATTATAAGAAAGGTCCAACTATGTGCGGAGAAGGAAAAAAGTTTATGAAAGAAGCTAAGCTTAATATTGTTAAAGCATATTTTAATGGAGTCGATGAAAATTTAAAGGATTTTATTGCTGATGATGACGAAATGTAGTTTTAATCCATTTATTAATTGTTCCTTTTTCTTTCTTTCATTCTTGCGAAAAATAATGTGTATCATAAAATTTGTATTATAATACTAAAAATGCACCAAATAATTAAATAAATAAATAAAAATTTGCTTAATTCACTTTATTACATAAAATTATTTATTGTTTATCAAAAAGAAATTTTACATTTTGTATATTTTTTATTAAAATGTATCAGTTTTTCGCAATAAACTTCATATATATAAAACCTGGTACTTGTTCGCTATCAATAATTACATTGATACCCAAGTTGCACAACAAGGATATCAGTATCAACGCAACTCGAGAAAAAAAAATTCATAATTTCTATAAAAGACAATAGCACATACATTGGTAAAAAGTAAATATCTGTTTCACAAATTCGTAATAATGAAATAATAAAAAAATTTGGGAGACGTTTAAATTACCTCCATATAAATAATTTGAATTATGCAATGCGTGATTTGTGTGCGTCCTCATTTACAATTGTTCAGTGTGTGCATGCCATATTTTTGTTCTTGTCGAATTTGTAAAATTATTAATGGTGGTTGGTTATTTACCAAAAAAACTTTTAAAAAAACATCAAAAAAAGGTAAAAGAAAGTGTTGAAAAAATTAATAAAATAGATACAGAAAGCGAATCAGAAAAGAAAATAAAGCGATAGTGAATCAATTTCAAGTTGCAATGCAGCTGAAAAAAGAAAATTCAAAGATGATGAACTGGATAAATCAGATATAAATTCAGAAAGTAGTCTTTTGTAATAACTAAAAGATAATTAATTATCTTACAAAAAGTAAATCTTACTTTTATTAATTGTAAGTGTAACCATTACTATTATAGTAATCACCAAAGTCATGTAAATTACGAAAATGTACCATCAGATTTTGACAACATACCAAATTTATTTATTCAAATAAAAGTTTTATACGTTTATTTTCTTCCTTTTTAATTTCTATTTTAAATATATTTGAATTTTCTATTTTTTCTATCTTTACCTTGCTATTATGATTAATTCTATTATATTAATAAGAGTTAATGAATATGTATAATAATAAATAATAAATAAATAATTTATCAATTTAACAACTTACTTTGAAGGTAATGTAAATGTATACTCAAAATCGCCGACCGGTATTAATTTTTTTAAAATATCTCCATCGAAATTGAGTTCTTTATATTTTCCGCTAATTATAATCTCCTCCCCTTCCATGTGCAACTCAATCTCATTTTCTTCAACGATTGAAGGTAGGCTTACAATTATAATAAAATGAGTTCTATATAATGAATATTAAAAGTAAGTGTATATAAATCAGTAAACTTACAATTTATATATTAAAACGAGAACATTACCTATTATCAAATAAATCATGGTATGGCCGCCCAACGGGATCCTGTAAGTTAATAAGTACTTTAATAATAATAACTTAATTATGCTTCAATATTTTTTAAAAATTATCAAATTACATACATGTTTATTACTATGATGGTCGAATTTTCTTTTGACGGGTTGAAATTTGACAACGACCTTTTTTTCTTTATCCAAATTAATCCTTAGCCCTTTTACTTTATTAAAAAATACTTCTCTATAATGCTTATTCTCAAAATGAATAAATCCATAACTAAAAAGTTTAAAATTCTCTATTAGTTCATTAAAAATTTAAATTTTAAACCATTATTAATAAGTTTATACATACTCGTCTTTTTTTTTTTTATAACATGAATAAAATCTTGAGGAATTTTATCGTTTACTTTGATCCAGTCCTCAATTACTTTGGACTGAAGATCTGCAAGATTATCACCGCCAAGAAACAGCGCGCATGCATCAGGATGGCAAGTTTCTTAAGTGTAAATGTGAAAAAAATAACAATAAGTTAATTAATAAAAAAAACCTTTATCAACGAAGGTTAAAACCTTTATCAAAAAAAGGCAACATAAAAAAAAAACCTTTATCAAAAAAGGTGACATAAAAACCTTTAAAAAGGTGACATAAAAAGGCGACATAAAAACCTTTAAAAGGTGACATAAAAAGGCGACATAAAAAGGTGACATAAAAACCTTTAAAAAGGCGACATAAAAACCTTAAAAACCTTATCAACGAAGGTTAAAACCTTTATCAAAAAAAGGCGACATAAAACAAAAAAGCCTTTATCAAAAAAAGGCGACATAAAACAAAAAAACCTTATCAATGAAGGTTAAAACCTTTATCAAAAAAAGGTGACATAAAAACCTTAAAAACCTTATCAACAAAGGTTAAAACCTTTATCAAAAAAAGGCGACATAAAAACCTTAAAAACCTTATCAAAACCTTTATCAAAAAAAGGTGACATAAAAACCTTAAAAACCTTATCAACGAAGGTTAAAACCTTTATCAAAAAAAGGCGACATAAAAACCTTAAAAACCT